GGGGGGCCCAAACCCGCGGCCTCACGGGCCCTGCCAGCCCAGCCGCCCGGCCGGCAGGTGTCGAGTGCTCTGTCGGTGGAAGGTAACAGTGACACCAGCCGTATCGATGACACTGCCCCGGCCAGCCGGAACTGATCTCCCCCTGCGTGTACAGAGAGGAGGGGGCGGCTTTGCCTACTGGCTCCACATGTTTCGAGCCAGTTTCAAGCAGACGCCAGAGGAGGCAGCCAGATGCCCGAGCTCCTCTGCCCCTGCTCTCCTGCCCGGCCCTGCAGCCCTCGGCCAGGACGCCTGGCACCTGGAGGTGGTGGCCCGAGACACTGCATGGGGAGGATAGAGCTTTGCTCCTCTCTGTTACAGCCAGGAGGAACCCGGGGAGCTGGTAGGGGCAGTGGAGGGGGGTTGTCACAGAACTCTGGGCGTGAGGAAGCCGGCGGCCTCCCCTTCCTGCAGTGAGCGTCCGGGGCTTCGCTGCACCAGCCTCACCTGCAGGGCAGACACGGGGCTGCGATGGGTGTGCAGGGTTCACCCTAAAGAGAGACGGAGCCTTGGTGGAAAACACGCTGGAGCGGCTAGTGGCGTGGTGTGAGGCTCGACCCCTCCCAGCAGGCTGTGCAGGTCGAGCCTCAGGCCCAGCAGCTCGAAGAACTCGCCGGGCACATGTGTGTTCATGCCCAAGATCCCAAGGGGAGAGCCGGGAGAAGGAATGGCCACATGGCCTGCCCCAGGGGGTGCTTTCTCACTTTCCCTGACCATCGCTCTGTCTCTCTCCAGCAAGTGCGCACCTTGTAGCAAATCACGAGACAACAGGACAGGAAGCCGTGTCTGTGGGGAGGAAATAGGCTGGGCAGGAGCTGGGCTTCGCTCCGGGCCCCTCCCGGCTACCCTCCCTCCTGACAAGGACGTGGGGTTCCCAGCAGGTAAGTCCCAGCTGCCTGGCAGGTCCCTGCATTCTGGACTGGACCCAGTGCCCACTCTGAGCGGCAGTGACAGTCTGTGGCAGCTCAAAAAGTAACGCCAGTTTCCAGACGCCGCGGAAATGGGGGTGCTTGGATCGGTGGCCTTCGTGTCCCAGGGAGGGTGGCCAAGGCACTGAGAACACAGGAGGGTGGGGAGCCCCTGCAGGGAGCCGACGCTGGCAAAGAGCAGAGCACAGCGCCCCGATTGAGCACGCGTCACGCGAGGTGGCCTGGGATGGCAAGGCTGCACTGCAGGTGGACAGAGGCAGGCACTCGGCCCTCCCCTCGCCTGCGGGACCACTTGGGAGACCCCTGCAGGAGCAGTAGGGACACCCCAGGCTGACCTGAGGCCTCCAGACAGACAGGTCCCCCGAGCAGAGGGGCAGACCCGCCAGGCGCCCACCTGAGACAGGGGGTGACCTGGGAGGGAAGGAGCCAGGCCACAGCCACCTGCTGTGGCACCTGGCCACCTGGCGCCTGGCCACCCCGAGTCCGGCAAACCTCGGTGCAGAGACTGCCCGGTCCTCAGACCTTTCCCGAGGTCGCAGGAATGGATCGGATGGCTCCCTCAAAGGTGGGTATCAGCACCTTGGGGGACCCCACTGGCTCTTCACCGCGAGACCACAGAGGTTGCCATCTTGTGAGAGTCGTCCTCCAGGGCCGGCGCCCAGCCCCTCCCAGAGGCTGTTCCGCTCCTCCCACATTGCACGCAGTGCTGAGTGTACTGTTTTCTGCTGGAGGGTGTGTGCACTTCCAGAGACAGGGAGGGAGGGGCCGAACACTGCAGTCCCGTCTCCATCCCTCCTTTTCAGGATCTGGGCAAACAGAGTCGCGACTGGACGCACAGAGCCAGCCATGCGGGGTCCAGCAGCTTTACCCACCAGGCCAAGGAGCCAGCACTCTGCACTGGTCAGGTGGTTAGTTCTGTTTTCCTACAGGGCATGTTCACTTGCCAGAGAGACAGAGACAGAGAGAAGAAGTGAGAAGTCACCCCCAGAGGAATGGCCATGCCTCAATCCCTCCCTCCATTCTCTTCTCAGGATCCTAGGCACACACACATGCTCAGCGTCATCCTCAAGCCATCGGGTCTGGGACTCAAACACGAAGCTGGCCACGTGGGATCGAGCAACTTAGCCACCATGCCATCTGCTGGCCCATCTCAGGGCTGATTTTAAAAGCAAAACAAGGGCCAGGTGGCGTGGAGGTTAAGGCACTGGTTCCCACTTACGGTTTGAGTCCCAGACGTGGTTGCTTGAGAAGCACACCAGGCCCAGGCACGCGCGCATGCCTCAGGTCCTGAGAGGACGATGGATTGCGGGTGGTTTCTCACTCTCCAGCAAGAGCGCCTGCCCTGTGACAAAAACTAACAAACGAAATGATTCCAAACTAGACGGAAACTCGACGGCCTGTCTTGCCCACAGTGGTTGGACCTGTGACCCCACGACTAGGGTTCCCCGACTCCGGTGAAGGCACCGCTGGATGCGGGAGGCCCAGGCGGGTCACCTGGGTGCAAGGGCAGAGGCAGGGTTTCCTGTTCCCACCAACTGCTCCTGGGGCACAGGGGCCTGCGAGCACCCACGCGTCGCCCTGGGCCTCTGAGTTCCAGGCCCCGTGAGGGGAGCGCGCCAGCCTCACCCGGGCCTGCACTGTCGCCTCAGGGGAGCACGCCACGGTTCCCTGGGCCTCTTCCCCAGCGGCCCTGCCAGTCACCCCGGCTGCAGACCCCACAGTCAGGCCCGTCCCCCGCCACGCCAGGCTCTTCTGTCCCTTCCCCCAAGGACGCCCTGCAGGGCCCCAGGGCTGTGGCAGGCCTGGCAGGGGGGAGCCACTCCACTGCTCTCAGGGGTCGTTTCTGGAAGGAGCCACACTCCAGGTAAGAAACTACCGCATCTCGCCCCTCCTGCCTGTGACACGAGGCCCCCGTCAGCCAGCCGGAGGCTGCTCCCCTCTGCATCACAGGTCACCCAGTGCCCAGCCTGGTGGGCAACAGCCCCATCACCAGGACCAGAACGGAGGTCGAAGCTGGCGTTCGAGCAGCGCTTCACCTGCCCAGCTCACTTCCGCCTAGAGCGACCCAGGAGGGAGACTATACCGGCCCGCCATTGCCTGAAACGAAAGGGAAAACTCAGGGCCATGCCATGCACCGCCCCGAGCACACTGCCACACCCACGTCCTGAAGGCCTTTGCAAAGGTGGCTCTTACAAAGCTACCAAGCAGTAATTCTAGTAGCAATGCAGTGCGATTCCCGAAGCCCTGTGAGAACGAGACGCAGACCGGGAGGCAGCAGCCCAGCTGTCTCGCCCGCAGGGCGGCTCTGGTGTCCAGGGTCTTTGTCCCTATCGCTGCAAGGCTGCACTGCCATTAGGGAGCCTCTGGGCCTCAGCTTCGGCCACGGGGCCAGCACAAAGGCAGGACAGAGAAAAGGCCAACCCTGTGGACGTCAGAGCCCCTGGCTCCCACAGCCTGAAACTCGCCACCAACTTCCAGTTTGGGGAGCCAAAACCTGCCCTCGGGCCAGCTCACTGCAGGGTTCCTTTACCCATAATGGGACACACCCCCAGGACAAGCGGCTCGCAGCCATGTCGTGGGATCAGTGCATCAAGTCGGCCCATCAAGTCAGCCCAGAGTACCACGAGACTGTGACGGGGGGGGGGGCCCTTTCCTGGAGGGCACTTGGAGGCCCTCTGGGGAAGCACACACTGCATCCTGCACTCCCCGTTCCAGGTGGCTTTCACTTGTGTGTTAGGCTGGTTTCAGAGGTCTGCTGACCAAAGTGGTTAAGGTGCTGGACTCCCAATCAGCTGATCACAGTTCAAGTCCCGGACCCGGCGGCTTGAAACACACTGGGCATGTGTGTGCACGCTGGAAATCATGGCAGAATGGAGGAGGGACTGCAGAGTAGCCATCCCCCTGGGAGGTAACTGTTCACTCGGTCTTTCTGACAGATAGTCTCTGTCTCTCCAGCAGGCGCATGGGCCCTATAGCAAAAATCTCTCAAAAACAGACAAAACTGCAGTCCCAGGTGGTGGTTCATCCGGGTGGTACTGGCGTGCTCCCAGGCCCTGTGCAGAGCCGAACAGCCTGGAGATGGCGGGCGAGAGGAGTCCGGGACCTCACAGGGTACACTTGCTTCCTCCTTGACACTGGGTCCCTGGAATCATTAACATCCCAAGGACAGCATCAACTGAACTGTCCTGTCTCCTCCCAAAGCCATGATGTGGCCTGTGGCCTCAGAGACCCTGAGAGCATTCTTTTTTTTTTTTTTTTTTGGAGAGGGTTTCGCTATAGGACGGAAAGCGAGAGATCACCCCCCAGGGGGGATGGCCACACTGCAAGCCCTTCTCCTCCATTCTCCGCTCGAGATCTTGGGCACGCACGCACACGCACCCGACGTGAGTTTAAGCCACCGGGTCCGGGACACGAACCACAGTCGACTACGTGGGAGTTCAGCAACATAGCCATTACGCTAACTGCTGGTCCCCAACCCTGAGAGCATTCTGAGAATGAACACCTTTAATGGGACCGCTAAGGGCCAAGTCCTGCCTTCCCTGAGGACACCTAAGAGGCCCACAGGTGGGACGTTGTCTGGACTTTTGGAGTGAGCACCCACAGGAGTGGCAGGGGTGCTGTGGAGGCCAGAAGCTTCCTCCTGAGTGTGGATGGCCACGGCCACTGGGACAGATCCCCCCAGTCCAGGGCAGCCAACCTGTGGCCCCAGGACAGACACGGGTGACCTCTGAGGGCCACCCTCTGAAGGCGCGCCTGCCCCTGTGCTCAGTGGGCAACGGGCCGACAGGTGGGGTGACTGGGCAGAGATCACCGTGTGCCCCCCTTCCTGCCCTCCGCCATCTGCCCCACTAGGCTGCTGACCAAGCCACCTGGGGACCCTCTGCTGAGAGCCCACCCATACGTAGTGGCCAGTGCCCTAGGCCAGGAGCAGGAAGCCCACGTAAGGTGAGACCACCTGTGGTCAGCACTGCACCCTACGGCTCCAGCCTGCTGCCAGGGCACCTCGATCTCCCTCCCTCCAGCCCAGGCCAGCGACAGAGCCTCCGGGGCAATGCCGTGCTTCCCATGGATCCTAAACAGGCTGGACCCAGCACAGGCAGGGGCCCTCGCTGCTTTCCCAGAACGCCTGTGGCCTGCCAGGGGCCCCGCGTGGACGGTCTTGGAGCGCGGCTGCTCAGACTTCCCCACCGGGTCAACGGGCAGGCCCAGGACACACGGAGCACACACACGGCGGCAGGCCCAGGACACGCACAGCACACACACGGGGGCAGGCCCAGGACATGCAGAGCAGGGGCCAGCTAGACTGGGACTGCGCTGGCGGGTACCAAGCCAAGGGCTCGAGCCCGGCCCTCCCGACCCTGCACAGCACTTTACGGTCTGGGCTTCCTGTCTTGGGCACAAAAATAGCTGAGGGCCCTTCTGATGGTGACTGAGTTCACGGACTTTGAGGTGCTCTGAGCACTCTCATGCCCCAGGAAGGCTCACACCCACTCATCACGCCTGTGCCCTCCCAGGTGGCTCAGTGCGGTCCCTGAGAGCAGCCAGGAAGGAGCAGCAGACACAGCTGTGGCCGGGGCCCACGGAGACTGGCCGGGAGCATAAGAGTCTGGAGTGCCGGCGCGGGAGACTGGCAGCCCTCGGGTCTCAGCACTGGGACAGGCTTCCGGTGAGGTGGGCCCAGTGCAGTGGGGAGGCCAGGGAGGGGCAGAGCCCAGGTGGACGATGGGCAGGAGTGGAGGGACGGAGGCCACAGCATGGACGGGGAGGTTGGGGTGGGGCCGAGAGCCCAGGTGTGTGCACAGGGACCTGGGAGGTGTGGGGCCACATGCTGGCCTCTGTCCCTGTCTGTGAGGGGAGGTGTGGGACCTCAGGACAGGCAGCCACACCGTGGAGCCCACGGCCTGCCCTGTTTGAGCCTCTCACTTCCTCAGCCCACCACGCCCCAGACAGGCCTGAGAAGTCACTGGGCGTCTGGCAGCTAATTGGAGCACAGAGCCGACCCAGGAAGTCCCAGCAGGTCTTCATCCCGAACCGGGCCACGGGCCTGCGGAGACCCAGAGGGGTCAGGGTAGGCCCTGGGTCACACGAAGAGATGGAGCAGTAGGCATCGCCGGGCACTGTTGGTACCACAGCACCAGTGGGCGTCAGGGCACTGCCCGAGCCCCGGGACACGCGGGGCACACGCACGGGGGCAGGCCCGGGACACGCGGGGCACGCGCACGGGGGCAGGCCCGGGACATGCAGAGCACACGCACGGGGGCAGGCCCGGGACATGCGGGGCACGCGCACGGGGGCAGGTCCGGGACACGCGGGGCATGCGCACGG